AGTCTTAAATCTCTTCAAAACCACTTTGTACACACAATGCAGTGAAACTTCAATCAAAGTAGCTCTCTTACTTTTTAAAGGTAAAGGGGCATTTTTTTTTAAAGTCAGGGTCTTGATGTAGCCAGCAGATGTCTGGCTTGGTCTTCAAATATCTAGCAGCCACTTGTTAGGTAATAGCCTCAAGGGGAATGAATAGACTAGTGACAAGGAAGGCAAGGACAAATGAGGAAAGAGGGACTTATTTTCCTGAGAAGTAAGCCTCAGGAGGATTTATCTCCAAAGTTCTCAGATTCACCCAAACCCTCCAAATTCCCCTGTCCCAAGTCTTATAGCCCACTCTTAACAATAAGAACTTTAACTTTCACGTAAGAGACTTGGCAAGTCTTTGAATGTATCTTATGCTCTAATTTTGCAACATGCAGAAGCAGAACTTAGGTCTGATTTTTGGCTATACCAACAATGCAGCTACAAAGGTAAGGGTCCTAGAAGTCTTCTAGTTCTTGACCAGGCCTTGATCCAAAAGTGTAAATATTCCCAGATTATCGTTTTCTTTCTATGGTCTCTGGTGCAGTCGGAAGTAGATGACACACACCATGGTCCTTCCCATTCTCTTTCCTACTTTCAGACTCTAGAGAAGCAGTCAACTTAGTCTACTAAGTTCTTGGTCCTTAGTTCCAACAACCAGAGGTGTTAATTTAAGGAGCTGTTTGCCACCACATGCCATGTTTCCCTATAATTCTCTTTTGCACTAGAATTAGGCAATTAGGTCATCACTGTAAGCAAATGCAACCAGGTCAAACAACAAGATGATCATCTTTGAAGCTCTGGAACTGGTCTTGGCATGAAATATTGTGTCAGTCCAGATTCATTAGTGAAAAATAAAAGCAACTTAAAGAGTGCTGGAAAGGCTGAAGTGATCATCACTGTGGCTGCCCTCAGCTTTCTGGTAGCATCATTGCAAGTGCAATCTAGAGCTCGGCAAGTTGCTGCTGCCACCCAGAGGTCAGGACACTACAGCAAACTGCCAACAGCATCACAGCCACCCCTGCTCAGAGGCCTGGTGAGGGAGCTGGGTGTTAAGCTAGCCTCCATAAAACTACTGCCATTGCGCCATTGCCGCTCGAGGGAGAATTTCTCAGACCACTTTGCCTTCCAAATCTCATGTGAAAGCACTGGCAGCATGCAAATTTCATCCAAACCCCTCAGGAAACGGAGCCTGAGAAAGGCAATCCCCGGACTTCTAGCTCCAGAGATATGAGAGCACAGAAATGGGTGTGAATGAAGGTTGTTTGCCAACAAACAGTATCCAAAACAAACATAGACTTGGGTGGAACTGGTGAATGCAAAATGTTTACTGAAATTAACATTTACAGAAATTCTATGCTAGCCGCAGTGGCTCATATCTGTAATTCCAGCACTTTGGGAGGCTAAGGTGAGTGGATCACTTGAGGTTAGGAGTTTGAGACAAGGCAGGCCAACATGGTGAAACCCCATCTCAACTGAAAATACAAAACAAAAATTAGCTGGGTATGGTGGCACATGGCTGTAACCTCAGCTACTCAGGAGGCTGAGGCAGGAGAATCACTTAAACCCACAAGATGGAGGTTGCAGTGAGTTGAGATTGCACTCTGTACTACAGCCTGGGTGACAGAGCAAGACTTCTCTAAAAAAGAGAAAAAGGAGGAGGAGGAGGAGGGGGAGGAGGAGGAGGAGGAGGAGGAAGAGGAGGAGGAGGAGGAGGAGGAGGAGGAGGAGGGGGAGGGGGAGGGGGAGAAGGGAGGGGGGGGGAGGAGGAGGAGGAGGGGGAGGAGGAGAGGAAGAAGAGGAGAAAAGAAAAATATACAGAAATTTTACTTTAATAAGGTGAATCTTTTAAATCTCTTATAACTCTATATTAACTTTGTTTTAGAATTTCAAAAGTTAGGATTTTAATACTTTTTTTTTTTTAATGAAACACTTTAGCATTGCTGTAGCATTTAGCCACCAAGCCCACTGGATATTTCAATTCAACTTTTAGAAATTATTGTAAAAGATCACTCTTTGATAAAACAAGATGTTGATGTGCCATCTCTCAGAAAATTATAATAAATACACAAATCATAAATTCCACTTAAGGATGTTCTTGAATAGATTTTAAAATATTAATTCTCTAGTGAAATTTTCTTGTCCCTTTCTCCCCATGCTTCCTTCAGGAGTTGCTCTTCTTAGACCATTTGTCTCTGCTCTACTTAGCCACCCACCCCCATGATCATAGTCTCGACCTTATCATGAGCAATAATAACAATTATTTGTAATGATAATCTCAACTGGATACACCTCACTCTCTGATCACTGACTCTTTTGTTCTCAGTACCATTCCTGTTGTATTCCAATTTCAATAATCTCTCAACTGAATAGGACCTCACATCCATTGTCAGGGTCACTGCTGGCCCTTACATGCCTTTGTTTGAATTCTTCAAGACTTTTTTTTTTTTTTTTTGAGACAGAGTCTCACTCTGTCACCCAGGCTGGACTGCAGTAGTGCAATGTCAGCTCACTGCAGCTTCAACTTCCTGTGCTCAAGCAATCCTCCCACCTCAGTCTCTGAGTAGCTGGGACTCCAGCCACTTGCCACCACGCCTGGATAATTTTGTTTTTATTTTTTGTAGAGATGAGATCTCAATATGTTGCCCAGGTTGGTCTTGAACTCCTGAGCTCAAACAATCCTTCCACCTTGACCTCCCAAAGTGTTGAGATTATGAGCATGAGCCACCATGCCAGTGGATCTTTCAATTCCATCTTTTATAAACTATTGTAAAATATCAATTTTTGATAAAACAACATGTTTGCATGCCATGTTTCAGAAAATTACAGTAAACACACAAATCATAAATTCGATTTATGGATGATGCCCACTTTAAAAAGGTCCCTTTAGGTGTATATAGGGCATACCCCACATTAAACATATGTGGCTGCTCAGTGATAGTTGATTCTGCAATTTTTATTTCATTGTCCATCTACCCGTTGATGTTCATTCCTTTTAAAATGGTTTAAATTCCACGTGTAACTATCACACTCACCTCTTGAATTTATCCTCAAGCACTGTCCCTCTCGCCTTGTCATACTCACTTGGTTAACCCACATCCCTTGTTAAATTCAGCTCTGCCTACTTCGTGCCTGCACCCACACTGCTGATGATGGCTGCGGGAACACTCCATTATGCTAACTGGTCTTTGCCTTTATAATCACTAAATCAAATACCCCTGAATGCTCTATTTTTCTAATCAATATACTCTCCCACTTTCCTAAACAAATCTCATAATTTTCCTGTCTTCCCAGACTTCTCCTAAATCTTCCCCTGTATCTACATTTTCAGCTATCAACCTTGTTTGCTATTTCCCTTGAAAATTTTAAGCAAAGAGAATTTCCACAAGCTCCCACTAGCATATGCATTCACGTTGTCAGTGCCTGCATATAATGTCCCGATTTGTCCTCTGTTGCTAGGAATGAACTCTTTAAGTTCTTAGCTAAGGCCACCTCCTCCACTTATATATTAGATTTATTCCTTTCTGTCAACAGTTTTAGCTAACAGCTCTTAGCTAAGGCTACCTCCTCCACTTATGTATTTGATCTATCCCTTCCGGTCATGTTTTTCTTTATTCCCAGCACCATGACTTTCTTTTCTCTTTGCTGGTTCATTCCCATCAGCATATAAACATGTTATTCCTCCCATATTAACAAAAAACTTTCTTGACCACCACCTAAACTCCAAATATTACCTCATTTCTCTCCTTAGTTTTAAGAGAAATTTCTTGAAAGAGTTGTCTACACTCACTGTTGGCAATTTCTTTCCTCCCACTTGCTCCTGAACTCACTACATGCCAGCTTTCATCCCCAGCATGCACCTTATTTAGGTTACGAGTGACTTCTTTGCTAAACAAAATGTGCCTCTCTCTGCTCCTATCTTGACCTATTGGAAGCATTTACTTATTTCCTCTTTCCTTCTCAAAATCGTTTTCTCACTTGGCTTCTGAAGCTACCTCTTTCCCCACTTTCTCTCTGTTGGCCACTTCTTGGTCTCCTTTGCTACAACCCTCTTACCTCCTCAACCTCTAGACTTTGGGGGACCAAAAGTTCCATCTTTGGTACTTTTCCATTTCCCAGCTGCACTAATTCCTAGGGGATCTTACTCAATTTCATCATGTTAAATGTCAGGTAGATGCTATGAACTCTCTAATGTAAACATCTAGCCCATATATCTCTTCTGAACTCCAGACTTGTATATCCAATCACCTTCCCAGGAAGTTTAAGAGGCATGCCAAATGAAGCCTGTCCAAAACTAAATCTGTAACCTTCTCTTCCAAACCTGCCCCTTTGTCTGGCTTCCCCACATCACTTAATAGTAACCTCCATCCTTTTCATTTGCTCAAGCCTAAAGTCTTAGTGTCGTACTTGACAGTTATTTTTCTCATTGCTCACCTTCAGTCCATTGGCAAACATGTTGATTCTATTTTTAAAATACATTTAGAGAATTACCTTGTTCTTAGAAAATACACTCTAAAATGTTTAGCAGTTGTCAGGCATGATGTCTCTAACATTCTTTCAAGTAGTTCAGAAAACATAACATAACGAAACATAGAGAAGGATGGATAAAGGAAGTAAATGAAGCAACATATCAACAAATTGATGAAACTCATTGAAAGGCAGACAGGGAGTTCTGTGCAATACTCTTGAAACTTTTCTGTAGGTTACAAAAACTCTAATGAATCTAAAATCTGCTACTTATCAGCACCACCATCTCCATCCTAGACATCATCTCTAGTCTTCAGGCTACTCTTAATGTAACAGTCATATAAATCTTATTATAGCATAGACCAGATGATGTCACTTCTTTGGTCAAAACCCTCTAATAGCATGCCACCTTAGAGTGAAGTCCTTTTATGATCCATAAAACCCTTCATGTTTTGCCCAATCTCCTCATTAACTGCCTAGCCCCAACTGCAGCCCTCCCCTTCACTCACCGACCTGCAGCTGCATGCATTCCTTGATGTTCCTGAAGGTTACTAGATTAGCTCCCACAGCAGGACCTTTTTCTATGACATTCCCTCTACCTGCAAATTCAATTCTGAAAGTTAGTCATATTCACATGGCTTACCTTCCAACTTTGTTCAGGTCTTTAATCAAAGCATTACCCTCTCAGTGAACTCTTTTTGAATGTCCTGTATAAAATTTTAAAATACCATCCACCCTTCTTTGAACATTCTACCTTTATTCTCTGGGTTATTATTTTTTTCTGAAGCACTTAGCACTAACGTTGTATATATTTTCTTACTTATCTAATTTAGTTTCTGGCTGTCCCTAAAATTTAGGCTCCATGAGGGCAGCTATTTTAGTCTGTTTGTTAACTCTTATGTTCTCAGCACTTAAGCACATAAAATATTCTCAATTTATATTTGTTGAATAAATAAATGAATGAATGTACCAATCTCACTATGCCTTTTGGAATTCTACATACCATCAATTATAAAGTTAATATCAAACCCATTCGAAACTGGTTGTCCAAATCTCTGGGACATCCTGATCTTCAATGGGTCATCAATTAGGATAATCCCATGTTTAATGGCATAAAGTAATAAAAAACGATATTTTTTCCTTTTATGTCTTAATTCTATCCTTTATTCCTGATTCATAATTTTTTAACTAGTCTGAAGCACTTCTGTCACTGTGTTTTTGAGTCTGTTTGGATATGTAGTTCTATGTCTGAAATGGTTTCTGATATGTAGACAGCTCCGAAATCCCCTGATAAATCCACTTCTGAGATGTTGTAGGGCTTTTCATATTCCCCTTGAGTTTATGTAGTTATTTAGAAATATTGGCAGCTTTTCTTTGTTATTTATCATATATTAATATCATCAACCTTTTGTCTGTCCTTTTTTTCTTTTTTTACCCCAAAGGTTCTTAACATGCTCTGGATCATTCTAAAAGCCTTTTTTTTATAAGCCACTATCAGTCTGTCTGAATTGTGTATAATACTTTCTGAAATACTGTTTAGAACTGAGTTTCTGTTTACAAGATAACTGTGCCAGTAATGACATCAGGTTGCAACTGAGTTTGCTGTGGGAGAGGATCATGTGGATTAAATAATTTCTTAACTGGATTCCTACCAAGAGTGTTCCAGAGTGACTGAACTCACTAGCACACACAGTTTTATTTACCTCTTGGAAATACTTCAAGGAACCTCTGAAAAGGAAAGACAATCGTTACTTGTGAGTTTCTCCTTCCTGGTTTATTTCGTTACCCATGTCTATTTCCATCCAGATAATTTGTGAGGAATCACCAGAATCAAATTTCTGGGTGAACATGTGTCAGTTCAGATGCATTGTGATGGTAGGAAAAGAACAGCCAGTGGACGCAGGCAAAAATAAAAATAAATAAATAAAATAAAGAAGATTTATTAGCTTGCAAAAATCCAAAAGGATAAATTTCAGGATTCATCCAAGTTTACATCAATGATCTGGTTTCTTTCCTTCTCTTCTGTATTCACATGTTGAGTTCATTCGAAGGCTGATGCTTGTCTGTGGGATGCGCACCAGCAATAATTAGACTAGTACATATTTCTTGATCCACCCACTGAAAGAGAAAGTATTTGTATCTAAAAGTTCCAGGCAAATGTCTTGAATATTGCTCTAATCAGGCTAGCTTCGTTTATGTGCCTAAAAGCCTCCTCCCAATCACTGTGGCCAAGAAAAATAAAATGTTCTGATTGCCTTTCACCCAATCGGAACTATCACTGGCATAACATCGTCCCGAAGCAAATGGTCTGCATAGCAAAGTGTAGATACCTGTATTTGGCCCCAAAAGGGAAGAGAAGTCAGAAGTCACACACAGTAGATGAAGGTAATTTGAGGTGAGGCAAATTTTATTTTGTTTTGTTTTATTCAAAGGACCAAATTACAAAGTGTGAATGGGGCATAGTGGAACCATAAGACATAGCCAGGGAACTTGGAGTGAGCAACAGCAGAGCTGCTACTAATTCCAAACCCAGAGGAAAACAGGGAAGGAGAGCTTACTGGAATGCCAAGGAAGAGCCCTGTAGAGAGTAACATGTTGACAGGAACAATGACCCTGGGAGAATACAGGTAACTTCAGAGGCGCTTAGGGAGGGAGCTAGGGAAACTAGTACTCTGATATTCTTTTTTTCTCCTGTTTCTACTGGGATTCCCCATTGTTTTAAACAGTGTGATGTTGCCCATACTGGTCATCCTTCCAGGACAGAGCAGACTGGACTCTCACCAAGAGTGTTCCAGAGTGTCCAAAGGATAGAATGAAGTTATGAGAACAAATGGGAAGTATTCTGTGCAGTCTCTGAATCAAAATGTGGGTACTGTAAAGAAGATAGGAGAGGACAATAAATGCTGGAGAGACAGCCAATCAATGATCCCTACAGGCCAGAAGTGTTTTAGTTACTAGTCTCACCAAGACGCCTTCAGACACTTAGGACAACATCTAATATTCTAAAGAACAAAACAAAAAGCCTCTTAAATATACTTATAATATCTATCTATCTATCTATCATCTATCTATTCTCCTATCTCAATGACAAGAAGCATAAACCAACTATTTATCTTAATTAACCAGCGATATTGTCACCAGCTATATCACCAGTTACAGAAAGCATATTAATTGATGGGACATATTGCATAACTTCTAGGACAGCTTCATGGCTGACAATGTTCTGCATGTAAAAGGTGATCATGTGGATGATAGGGAATTCCTATTCTCTCTTTCTTGAAGATAAAATAAGAGAAAAATGAGTTCACTAAGCAGGAAACATTTTGATTAAATAGAGGTAGACATTTTTCATAACAGGATTTGTTAAACCCTGAAATATTTTTTTTTCCCGATTATCTTTGAGAACCATTTTTCCATTTCTCTGCCTATGTTCTAAAATCAATCTGGCAACCGACAGGGCCTAAAATGAATATAATTAATTTTGGCTCCCCAAGCACAGAATTGCTATGTATCCCAAGGTGGCTCTGCTGTGACAGCTGCTGTGGTTGTAGGGGCAGTGGACTGCATTCCATCTCCATCAGGAGCTAGCCTTGGACAATTCAGATGGCCAAGCCATCACACTGCAAAGCAGGGTCCTCAGCTGTCTCCTTCATTCACTTAATGTGTCACCATAGGGACAAAAACATAAAATGACAGGGTAGACCAGCAAAGGCAGGTCTCAGAATCCAAGCAGATATGCTGGGTTAGGGCATACAAGATTCGTTCAGTCACCCAATATCTATTGAGTACCTATACATATGTGCCAGGCAATGGTTTTTGTGCTTGCTAGAGCAGTGCACAGGAAAAATACAAAAACAAAAACAGAAATCCTCGCTTTCATAAAGTTTATCTTCTAGTGGAGAATGTAGACAGCAAACAATGTTCATACAAATATATACCATAGTGGATATTGATGGCTGCTAAGGAGAGAAAGTATAGCAGAGAAGACAAAAGACGTGTCAAGTCAATGGCTGAAATTTTAGTGTAATTTCTGAAAACAGTCCTGAAAGAGGTAAATGAGGATGTCATAAGGACGATGGCTGGGGAAAACATTCTGGGGAGAGCAAAGAGCAAGGGTAAAGGCCCTGAGGTTAGAAACTCCCTGTTCTATTTAAAGAATAAGAACGAAGCTAGAGTAGCCAGAATGGAGTGGATGAGGGGGAGATGAGGTCATAGAAATGATGGTGATGGTGAAGCATGGATTATATCAGCCCAGTAGGACATGATAGGGAATTTGCTATTTTTCCAGGAGAGGTGGGATCCCCGGGAGAGCCCCAAACACAAGAATGAAATGAAGTGACTTATGTTTTCAGGAGATAACTGACTACTGCATTGAGAATAGACCTGCAGGTTGAGACCAATTAGGCGTTCATGGCTACAACACGGAGAGAGGGGACGGTGGCTTGGACCTCGAGGGTGGTCGTGATAAAGGTGGTGAGAAGTGATCAAATTCTGAATACATTTGGAAACTTGTAAGATTTATTCACAGACTGGATGTGAATAAAGATAGAAAAATCATCAGGACGTTAAGATCAGTGGAATGTTTCCAAAGATTTCTCATGAAAACATTGGTGTCCTAACAGGTCTGAAATGAAAAGTGCATCATCCTCAGAGGGTAAGTTCCAAGTGAAATTCTGGGCCAATCAGAATGGAAGGAATAACAAAGATTCTAAGCCCAGGATAAGATTCAGAATGAATAAGGTTGTTTTAGAATGGCTGAGACGGGTGTGGTGGCACACACCTGTGGTCCCAGCTACTTGGGAGGCTGAGGCAGGAGAATCACTTGAACCCAGGAGGCGGAGGTTGCAGTGAGCTGAGATTGCATCACTGCACTCCAGCCTGGTGACAGAGCAAGACTCTGTCTCAAAAAAAAAAAAAACCCAAAAAACAAAAAAGAAAAGAATGGCTGAGAAAGTGATTGGCAGTTCTATACCAGATGATCAGCATATCTCCAGGCAGGAAGGCATCAGGGGTGTCTAAGAACATGCATAATTGTAATTTTGACTGTGGTGAATTTGAGGTAGGTAGTAGTTTGATCATTGTGGAAAAAGCTGGCCACTCTGGTTCAATGAAGGATTCAGTTACAGAGAATATCATTTACAGAGAATCAAGGCTAGAGCTGAACTGGCAGCATAACCAAAATGCTGCTTTGCTACTAAGCTGCAGTCCTACCGTCCTCTTTATATTGCTTTAGCTAATCCAGGTCTGATATCAGAGGCTGGGGCTGGGCTGCAACTTAATGGAAAGTATAACAGGTTAAATGACAGGAAGCCAGGCAAGTTAAGAGCCAGAAGCAATGGACGTGAAAGTCTTTTCTCTTTTGAATACTCAAATGCTAAGAGAACAGGAAGGTCAGTAATAATGACAGAGGTATTTTCATCCCTCTGGGGCTCCTACAGCCTCTACTGCTTCAGCTGCTGCCCCAAGGACTTTCTGATGGTGCATCAGTCCGTTCACTCTTTGTATATTAGAGATGGTTCCTGGGACTCTTTAGACTGGGTTCCTGCTACTCCTGACTGTTAATTGGGTTGAAGAAAAGAAGTGTATTTCCAGATAGAGA